TAATATTGTCACAGCATTTAATAATAATAAATAAATGAATGCAGTCTTAGTTATGTTAGTTGTATACAGGTTTAAAAAGGTCATTTATATTTCTGATTGTTTATTTCCGCACCATCGTGGTCCTGCGCCACATGACATTTCGTTCCACTTTCTGTCCACACATAGTAAAATGACAATAAACCTTTTGAAAGCATTTTTTTTTTTTATGTTACTGATGTATGTTTTCCAGTCTATAGAGCGTTTGTGAATGTGTTTTTTCAGAGTCTTATGTTTATTGTTGTTTGTTTGTGTTTCAGAGCTTCTCTGAGCAGGTGGAAGTTTTCAGAAACATCGCTGCTCATTATAATATGAGCTTCTTATTGGAGACCATTGACTGGATCATCAGTATGAACACATAGACGGCAGTCCATCAGGACACCCAGACAGAGGGTTTGTGCCATAAACACACAGACATCTGAATTCACTTAAATGTGGACTTTAGACCAATGGAATTGATTTGGTGCAGGACTTTTTTATTTGTGTGTTAATAAATATTTTTGTATATGAAGAAAACACTATCTTCTATCATTATTTCCTGTGTAAATGAGGATTTTGATCATTATGGTTACTCACCGTATCTGCAAATATAAAGGATATGACTGATTTTAATAGGGGTGGCTACTAATATGTCCCTCTGGTAATTCTCCATTTAAATATCACCTCTTTTTGACAGTAATGAGATTAATTCTGTAAAAACAAATCACTCTTTTAGTTTGTAACCACCACATATAATCTGTTTGAGGTTTGCAGCATTCAGCCGCTGCTCAGTTTAACTCAATGAGGCGTCCACTTCACTGCCTGGCTCTATGCTCTGTCTGTGCACTCTACATTTACTACGGTTTAATTTGATTTCTCATCTCTGACTTGCGCATCAATCTGCAGTCTGAAATCCAACCGTTATTGTGAAGCGGCATTGCTGTGCTCAGCACCGTCTGCCATTGCAATAGTGTCTGAGACGCTTTAAAATATTCCTCTTTTGCAGCATACGGACAGACAATGATGGCCGATCTCAGGATATTGATAATTATTAATAAACATTTAATAGTTTTATATTTTGTTACAGTTATTTTAATAGATTTGGCTTTTTTGCAACACTTTTTGTAATTGCAACGCAGAACCCAGAATTTGTATTATGCTTGCAATTGATGTTGCATAAATAAATTAAAAAAATTAATAAGCATTGCAGAATATTATTAATAATGTTATTATTGACTTATAAATAAAAACAAAATAATAAATCAAATATATTAGTTCTATTGACTATTTAAATATATAATTCTGTAAGACATGAATTTAGGATATATCTGCAAACTTATTTATTAATTATAAGTTAATAAATTAGGTTAATAAATTCATACAGAATTATAAATTTAAATTGTCAATATAATTAATATATTTTAGAATAATATATTCTTCTAAGAAGGAATATAAACATGACATATAACTTATTTTCTTTATGGAAACAAATGAAAAATTTGAAATAAATACTGCTTTTTTTGATCTGTGAATTGCACAAATAATCAGTAAAAAGTGGCTGCTGTTTTCAGAAGAGATATTTTGAAGAACCAAATTAAAATAGTGAATTTCTAAAAATAAATCTTGATGATGATGGAATTTTTTCTTTGAATTCACACTTACAAACTACATTAGACCACATATTAAAATAGTAAACAATGGGGTATATGCCGAAGCATGCTAATAGGACTTTTAATTTGCCAGTAACCTGGGTTAAGCGCTTCCGGCGAATGGAATGTCAATGCAAAATCCGGTGCGTTTAAGGTCTGTTTTCTTTAAAAATCAGCGATCTCCACTAGCTGAGTGATATCCGATTTAAAGTGGGTCTCAGATTGTACAAGAAGCACTGCATTAAATTACATTCCCTCCGCCATATCTTTATAATATGAGCATTTATTTTACCCCAATACATTCAATGAAGCTTCTGCGTTAGCCTGCCGATTCTGACGGGCGCGTGCATGTAAACAGCTTTTTGTCTCGTTTTACACTTGAGCAACTAAATGAATGCTAAAGTTTATTTACCTGAATGTATTTTAATGACATTACAACATCAATGCTGTATAAGGAACCGTATAAAATGGAAAAAAGTTCACATTAACAGGTCACCGGAAGTGTATCAGCATGGGAACAGCACTAGCTCGGCATATACCCTATACTTTTTTTCCTCATAAATTTCCCATCATAAAACCCAGTAAGATTTTGTTGTTTGGATGAATTTGTAATGTGCCATAAGTATTATAAGGAATTTTATATCAAATGTTATGCTGTAGACCAGAGGTCACCAATCATGGTCCTAGAGGGCCGGTGTCCCTGCAGGGTTTAGCTCCAACTTGCTTCAACACACCTGCCTGGATGTTTAAAGTATACCTAGTAAGACCTTGATTAGCTTGTTCAGGTGTTTTTGATTAGGTTTGGAGCTGAGATCTGTCGGACACCGGCCCTCCAGGAACAAGTTTGGTGACCCCTGCTGTAGACAAACAGCTACACACACACACACAAACTCAAACACACACAGTCCTGTTAAGTTCATTGTCTGTCCATTTTCTTTAGCATCTGGTTTCACTCTCTTTCCTGTCTGGGGAGCTGATGAGGTTTTTACATGTACCCTTGATCATTACTTAAAAGACTGAGCCATAAACCTCAAAAGTGTGAGCTGCAGAAATCAATGCAGTTCTATTAATCCCATTTGCAGGAGCGCTTCCCCTAAATCTCATTACTGTAAAGCGATATCATAGGAAGAGTTGTTATCAGGTTAGCAGTGCGAGTGCTTCTCTTTGCAAAAACCAGCATCTCGTCTTTCCTTATGCAAGATGATTTTTGATGGATGGATTGATGTTCCCAGAAGAGACGATGATTAGGAACGGACTGATCTTTTAAGTACTTAAAAAGAAAAATAACACACAGAAAAAGGGAAATTTTAACACAAAAAAAATACAATGCTTATTTTCTGGGTTTCATCTGTGCATGCTATTCACACAAAAAAAGAGCTACAGCTACTAATGTTCTGAGCAATCCTCAAAAGCTCCCCACTATACAGAAATTCAAAACTCAGCTGTGATTCACCAATCAACCTGCTACACCACTGAATAACCTGGCTCAGTCTATTCTTGTTTTTAAAAGACAGACTTTCAAACCATGGCACCAGAGCGAAGGATAGAATAGACTCAATAAAAGCACAATAAAAAAAAGAGTAAGCATAGTGGGGCCAATATGAAAACGTGATGGTTTCCTGAGACAAAAAAAGGTGCTGATGCCCCTTCTACACACAGCTTCACAGTTTGCCTCAAAATGTATATAATCTAAATATTTTTACTGTTAAAATAAAAATAATCTAAAAAAATAAAATATTCTGATCAAAATCAAGGGCTGCTTAAAGTCCAGAGTTATTACAGTTAATCTAAACTATAAAATCTTAAACTATTTTATTTGTATGTTAAGTGAATGTTAGCTGAAATTAAATAAAACTTGTTTAATCATTTTTTTTTCAGCTAGTTGCAAAGAAAAAATTCTCGTTTTTAATTAGATTAGCCTAACTAAAACTACATTACTTATATCAAGTGACGTGTGAATGAAAGCTCAAATATTGGTTATTAGTATTCTTTTTTTAAATATACAGTGGTGGAAATAAGTATAAACATGTCATGTTTTTTTCCTGGGAATATTTCTAAAGGAGCTGTTGACATAGAATTGAACCAGATTTTGGTAAAAACAAAAACAATACAAATATTCACCACGGCGAATGAAGCTCTTCACAAGACTTTTGGCCAGCGGAGAAATTAAAATGGTCGTGCCCAACTGAGTCTGGTTCTCAAGGTTTTTTTTCTTCACTCCCATCAGGTGAAGTTTTTTTTTTCCCTCTCCGCAGTCGCCACTGCCTCGCATGGTTCAGGATTGGTAGAGCTACGCATCGATGAATTTGCTCTTCAGTGTTTGAAGTCTCAGTAATGATTAAATCACACTGAACTGAGCTAAACTGAACTGAACTGAACTTAAACACTAAAACCTCAACCACACTGTTCCAGTTACTATGCCCATTTATGTGAAGCTGCTCTATGCTAAATCTACATTGTAAAAGCGCTATACAAATAAAGCTGAATTGAATTGAATTAAAATAAAACAAAACTTTGAAAAAGTACTTATGCATAATAACATTAGAATGACACAAGGAGAAAGTACTGAACTACTGAAATGTATACTTTATATAAAAGGCTTTTTGGTGATGGCAGCTTAAAGACGCGCCTCAGATGGAGAATGAAGCCACATGCATAGCTCAGGTGTGAGTTTTTCCTTCAACAGAGTGTAAAAATCTTGACGGTTCTGTGGGTCTCGTCTATCAAATCTGAGCTTTAATTTGAATTTTCTATTGGATTCACATCAGGTGATTGGCTGGGCCATTCTACAGCTTGATTGTCTTTCTCTGAAAGCATTTGAGAGTTTCCTCTGCTGTGTTTTGGATCATTGTCAAGCTGAAATGTCCACCCTGGTTTTATCTTCATCATCCTCGTAATGTAGATGTTGGACTGAAGCAGCTAAAATTTATCTGCAATGAGGAAGGGCAGAGGGTTGCAGAAGAACTACTGAGAGATTTCAGCTGCTGTCTGGGCTTTCACTGCATTTCATTTTATTTTATTACACAAAAATTCATTTATAAGCTAATCAGTTTTTTTTCTTTGTATATATGGATTTCTTTTGTTGTTATCAACATCTGAGGAACATTTCAAGTCAGCAGCACCTTTAGAAATATGTTTTCTGAGAAAAATGGTGACGTGTTCAATACTTATTTTCCTCACTGTTTATATGTAATATTGCAATTTCTTAATTGTTCATCCAAGCCCTTCATGTAGTAGAATTAAACACCAAGCAAGTACACCATTGATCAAGATTTAATATTTACTGAAGCAAAGTATAACAGATATGTGGTTTTGCATGTTTTCAAAGCTTTTCTAGATTCAAATATGACATTTTATGATGCATTATCCAGCGCTTCATGTCGAAATACTGTACTCTGTACATTTGGAGCAGTGTTAATGCATGTTTATAAGGGTACGCCATCTGACAGGTCTGAGTGAGTGGATCCGTAGCTTGTGAGCGTAAAGTCTGTTGTTATTGGCTGGCTGGGCTGCTTGGAGACCTGAAAAAAACAAATAGAAAAAAAAACAAACTGATGAATGAATGAAAGAAATCGAAAACATGTCAACATTAATTTCAGACGCAGCCAATAATTAGAAAGGCTGTGCATTTGACAGTATGAAGCCAAAAATACTTGAAATGGAATACAAGAAATTTGATTGTCACAAAATGCATAGTTTATCTGTGTTAAAAGGTCAACAGCCAATGATATAGCTGTATTTGATTACAAGTGTGTATATACAGTGCATCCGGAAAGTATTGATATCGCTTCACTTTTTCCACATTTTTTTGTTATAGCCTTATTCCGAAATGGATTAAATTAATGTATTACCTTAAAATTCTACACTCACTACCCCATAATGACAATGTGAAAAAAGATTTCTTTAAATTTTTGCAAATTTATTACAAATAAAAAAACGGAAAAATCACATGTACATAAATATTTAACAGCTAATAATATCAACATTGAAATTGGTTTAAAAAATTTTTTAAACGTTTTAAAACTGAAAAAGTTTACAAAGTTTTAAAACTGATTTTATTCTAGCCTAAATAAAACAAATGAGACTTTCTTCAGTAGAAAAAAATATTATAGGAAATACTGTTAAAAATTCCTTAATTAGGGATGAACAATAACAATATTTTTGTTTTTAATCCGATGCCAAGTATTTCATCGATATCAATATCAATACTTACATGAAAAATTTTATAGTGTTTTTTAAAAATGATTTTTAACACCTTTACTATGATTATAGTTATTATTCATAAATAAAACACAAGACTCCTTTTTACATGATTCCTTTTTACATTTATTAAAATTACAGAACTATAATTGGGTAAATAGCACCATATATAACAAAAAATAATGCACTGCACAATTCTTGTTAAATTAAAAAATAATAATTTTTAAAAGTAAAATATAATAAAACAAATAGTTGCCTAGCAAAAAATATATCCTTGACAACAGTCAATAGACTGAAATGGGCAAAAAAAAAAAATCAGTCTTTGGGGCTAGAATTTCTACACCTTATTTAAAGGTCAAAGCAGCAGAACTTCGGATTGAATCTTAAATTTCAGTTGCAATATTTATTTGTGCTTTCTGATTTTAGTCAGGTTTTTGTGAAGGAACAACCGAATGTTGATGTTTTTCCTCTTAAGGAAGGGGCAGATGATGCAGTGACCATAAGATTTTTTTTTCCAGTTTGCTACGAGCTGGAAATGTTTGCTTATGATTTCTCCACCAAATGAATGGGTCTCGGTTTCGGGAAACTACTATCTCCTCAGTGTGGTGTCTACAACTGTGCCGTGACCTAACGCTGACCTATTAGTGGAGATACAGTGGAAGAATATTATAGTTCCCATTCGTGTTTCTATTTAAGTAAATATTTCTATAATATGTGGTGCTATAATTATTATGTTATTTGAAAATCTCAGATCACTCAATAAGATAAAAACCCCAAAAAGGATTGATACTTTTACTTAAGAATCGATCCTTTTGATACATTCCCAGCATCGAAAATATTGATACTTCAAGATCAATCTGACTATCCTTAATCCGTTAAATATCACTTGAGAAATACTTGAAGAAGAATAAACATTGCACAGTAGCGCTAATAATTTCGCTCTCAACTGTATATAACATGTCAATGTGACTTCACCTTAATCTTACTTGACTTACATCATCAAACTTCTTTTCGCTGAAGACTTCGTTCTTGTCGATGAACGTCAGCATGATCCAGTCGCAGATGATTGAGCACTAAAACATTAGAAGCATTCCCAAATATTAGGATTGAACATCAGGACAAAACCCTGACTGAAAGAGAAGCCGTGTGTGTTCAATAATGCCTCTTTCCATTAGGTCGTCTCCAGACTAAGCACTATGAGCGAAGCCCAAGAATCATTCCCATAATGCAATTTGTGAAATGTTGATGTCTGCCATCGGAGTCATTCAGGCATCGTCATCAACATCTCACACATCGTCCTAAAATAACCATGTGTTTTATATGTATTCGGCACAAAAATAAATACATACAATTCCAACTGAAGTCATGGCCGTGACCGTGTTGATGATGGTTGGGATTAGACTGAATCGTCCTGCCTGAAAGGAAATGTGTACTAGATTAGTAGGTGTCATGTGTGCATTCGGCATGTCACTAATGGACTTCCTGTATGATCTCACATGTCCATGAACGATGACATCCAGGCGAATCCCATAAGCTTTTATCAGGCTTCTGTACTCCACACCATCCTTATGGTAATATTTAGCAAACCTCAAACATGATAGAAAAAAATGTAAAGACAATATTATTATTGAAAGAGTAAGCATTTATACAGTTGAAAAGAAATTCTATATCTGAAATTGTCCTCTATACCCTTAAAGTCGGCATGAAATCAAAATTTACTCCCATTTTAATATGTATATAGTAGTTCTTGTTATTAAGGCTGTATCGGTGCATTTCATTATTTTGTAAAAAAAATAAATAAACTAATTTGCCCTCATGAACTTTAATCAACAAGCCTATTGAAAATATCTTTTTCACCTCCTGATCAACCGGAATTCTTTTAGGCCGGGGCTATCGGTGCTTGAGGGTAGAGGACTGCATTGACCGGACCAAATTTCTTGTGGCGTGGAAATAAATTTCAGAATAAAACTGAAATTTCGGGAACTCTGGTGTAGTTTGAACATGAGCAGGCAAAGGCACATTTTTCTGAGGCACAATATGTACCTGCTATGTGTTTAGAAATAACGCTGATATGATCAATGAAACACAATCTGTAGTTGGCAAATATATTGAGTGGGTATCAGGGCTCAACAATAAGGACTGTCCGATGGCCCGGGGCCAGAGTGAGAGATGCTCGGGACAGTAGACAGAATGGTGACTGGCCCGATCGGACCCGTGCTGCATTGTCATTAATTTTAATTTGCGTGAAACTATTTGTCAATTGCATGCAAATACAGTCTTAGAATCGAAAAATAATTTGTTCTTTTAAGTCTTTGAAAGCTACCTTTTCGGTGAAGTCGTAAACACCACATTGCTTTTCGGTTCCTCTTATCTGATTGGATGTTGTAAGCACGTTATTTTTTTACATAACCTGGTAAAAACCAGTACAGTGAAGAGACGACAACATGACGGCCACAACTAATTATGAGGCTAAAAGAAAACATCTGTTTTTTTATTAATTGCTATCAATCGCATTAAAAAGACTGAAACGTGTAATTTTGGCTATTCGAATGTAAAATTTATGTAAACGCAAGACAAAAAACTATTTACATTCAAAATGTAATTGTTTATTAGAATTTTTGTTTAACTTGTAACACAGATTTCTTCATGTAAACAACATACCTACAATAAACCATCAAGATCCTGGCTTGACAGCCATATTTATTACAGAAATAAAAGCACAGGCATGTTAATGCCATTTGAATTTCAAAACAATCAATGCCAATAAAGAAAACATTGATTTCCATGTTGGATTCTAAGTGGGCCGCAAAAAAATGTCAAAATACAGGTGTTACAGATATGGAAAATTTTAATAATAAAAATAAAGTATTGAATACAAACAATTGTACTTAACAGGAAAAAAACCTGCAACTTCGTTAATTGCGTTATTTTTTAATGCGTTAAATATTTCAAATTAATCGCATGCGTTAACGCACTAATTTTGACAGCACTAATCTGTTTCTAACATTGTGGAAACAGACATTTACATAAGTACAACACCAAGAAAAAATGAAGTGATGTTTTGCATAGTTTGCCGTTACTTTTAAGTCAGCCACCTTTTGTTTTGCAATAAAATACCTGCACATTTTCTATACTGCTATATTTTACTGCTAAATATTTTAACATTTTCACAATATTTAAATTCTAGATTCACAGATATTATTTTTGACACATTATTTAAAATATGTGGCCAAGAAATAGCTACAATTAATTTATTACATTTTTATTTTAGTGCGGGGCCTGTGGAAATGTTGGCAGGGCTAGTAAAAATCTGAACCACTGATCCAATCGGGCCATAAACCCTGGGTATGTTTTTAAATCTGACTTTGGAAGAGTCAGTGCCTTACCAGCCTCAAACCTCACCGCATGTCAATCGGTAACGGTTGGGTAGAAAACGGGGCGGGGAGCGGGTAAAAGAGGCTTAATATACGGCGGTAGCGGTTGGTTGCGATACAATACCTGGCGTGAGCGAGGTTAAATTTTCAGTCCCGCATAGATCTCTACTTTAGGGTGGGCTATTAGGACTTTTTTCTGCTCTGCTCTCGTCCAATTATCAATCTTCCTTAATTTTATTAGCTAGCCCGTCATTCAACAAATCCAATTGGTTCCCAAAGTATGAAATCATCCATCGCCCTCTATTTTTTTTTCATTATAGGAGCAAGTTGATGTAGGTCACCATAGCAAAAAAAAAAAAGACAATCTCACACCATGTCCTAACGACTCACATGATAAAAGGTATCTTTTCCATGTTAAAAGGATTTTTTGTCCTTTGGCCATTTCTATTTCCGCTACCTTGTGGCAGAACAACAGCATATACTATGACAATGATAACCTCGGCTACTGATTATGGGCTTCATTCAGTGTTAAAGGCTACCAATGTGGGTTTAATTACCATTTTACGTGACATTTATTGCCATACCACTGAAAGCAGAAGCAGATACTGTACCTCAGATCTTGAAAATAAAATAGCAGATGGTTTGAAAATGAAAGCCAGAACTGTGAATCAGTCACTCAGTAGCCTATGAATAATGTTAGAGGTTCAATATGTATTAATTAGATTTAAAAGCTTTTACCATTTTGTTGGGAGTACAGTGGTTGGTACTTAAATGTTTCTGTCATGTTGCATTGCTTTTGGTGTAAACAGCCAAATTGCTTGTCGCTGGAATCATGTCATGTAAACTTTTTTCATGGGACATATAATAGTACACTATTTGAGAGAGCAGCCATTTTTTAGTCGTGTCCGAAACCGTAGTGGACGTTCTGAAGTGCACTCAATCCCACAATGCACAGCAAAAACGAGTCTACAACACGCGTACACTCCGCAGCTAGTACCCTAAATACCCATGCACTTGAGAGTTTGCGCACTGATTAAATTTGGATGTTTGTTAGCGGTATTTAGCTGAAAATATCATTTTAATATCTTTTAACATTAAAAACCAAGATCTTCGAGAGTATATCAGGACGTTGAATCACATTCATCGCAAGTTGCTTTCTGTAGTTCATTTAATGGCCTCCGGTGTCGCTAATAACTAGGGTTTCAGAATTCTACTTGGTTCTTGTTTGTTGTAGCAGTACCTGTAGTAGTATCCAGAACTGGGCAGGTTTTTCCTCATGTCCAGCCTTCTGAATGAATATGTGGGAATACACGCAGACGGATCCACGTCAAAATCGCACTTCCAGTTAATGAACACTCCAATTATTCCACCCTGAATGTGTAGTAAAATGTTAACACTTATGTTAAACCTACATATCAAAATTGTATCATTGCTTAAAGTGCAAAAATAACCAACACAGGCTCATTGGAAATTAAATTTCAGTGAAACCGCAAAAAACATACTTCTACGTACTTTTGACTGCAGTTTTCAAGGTAAAATTAATGCAAAGGGGCAGTATGATGCGAACTACTTTTGTTTCTTTTCACACTAATGATATATCAAGTTCCCACCTTGATATGCTTGGCGAAATAGCAGGCTTGGCATGCTGTCCTGGGAGAAAACCCTTAGCTCAGAGATATTTTGCCCAAAGCTCCCGCCCGGTCAATAAGTATATAAGGGGGACCGAGATCAGGTTGGTCTCGAGAGCTCCTCTTAGAAAAGGGAGGAAAAGGAGGAGATGGAGTGGAAGGGGGTTCCAAAACGAAGATAGAGCAGCAGGGCGAAACAATTCATTTATTGTAAGCTTGGATCACACTGATTGGATTATTACTGATTATAGATGAGCATCCTGTCATGCTCAATCATATCACGTGCTCCTTTATAAACTAGTTTATGAAACTTCCCTTATAGCGACATATTATTGATGAAATTCTGTTAAATTGCATGAAACGTACTTCAACTTATGTTTGACTGCAGTTTCTAGGTAAAATGATCACTAGGGGGCAGTATGATGTCAACGACTTTTGATCCTTTTTACACTAATGATATTTATAGAGACATATTATCGACGAATAAAGGACTATTTATCTTGCAGTTCTTTGGAAAACAGAGTAAATTCCACAAAACAAGTAAATAGTGCCTAAGATTTGTAATCAAATAAATTTTCTTTTCATATATCTTCATAATAACAACTTATTTTGTGGTTAGTTTGGTTTCGACAGCTCCTGAGTTTCCACAAAGAGCACGGTTCCACAAATCATATAAAAGCACGGTAATATCATGGTAAAATTACGTGGTCACAGTGGACTTTTCTCTATTGCTTTTTTTTTTAAACACTATTGGTTGGGTTTAGATCAGCAGTTTCCTAGGTGATCTGTACGGCAAATCCTGCCTCATGGATGTGTACGCTCATAAAAAATCATTTAGGCCTACCAAATAAGATGTATTATGTATTCATATTGATTGCATATCAAATTTCCATCCATTTGGATTACATATGAATTAAAATGTGCAACAAAACATACAATAATTAATAGATATCATAGTTTGCAAAAATGTAGACAGTGCCCTCTAGTGGATTTGTCATCTGAAACGTGCATCGAAATGTACAATAACTAATGTATTTCCGATTAGCAAAAATGTAGACAGCGCCCTCTAGTGAATATGTCATCTGAAACGTACACCGAAATGTACAATAACTCATGTATTTCAGATTCGCAGAAATGTAGACAGCGCCCTCTAGTGGATTTGTCATCTGAAACGTACACCGAAAAATGTAGACAGCGCCCCCTAGTGAATATGTCATCTGAAACGTACGACGAAATGTACAATAACTAGTGTATTTTAGATTCGCAGAAATGTAGACATTGCCCTCTAGTGGATTTGTCATCTGAAATATACAACGAAATGTCCAATAACTAATGCATTTCAGTTTCTCAAAAATGTAGACCGTGCCCTCTAGTGGATTTGTCATCTAAAACATGCAGCAAAACGTAGGCTGAGGCACATATTTCCAATGATCCTGAGGAATGAGAACGGTTAACGACAGATTGTGTACATGCCGTTCTGCAGAGTTCGCTGAATTTCTCTCTGGCCTGCGCTGCGATGAAGCCCAGGCTGAACACGGGACAGTAAGGGTTGGTTTCTGGATGATAATGGCATCGCAACAACTTCTTCGGCTTGTTGGGTTTAATATTGCCCCTGCAGTTAAAACCATCACTTAGATGTACTTATAGGACAAGGAGAAACATCAATTGATATCAAGTGTGTCTGATTTCTGAAATATTGTGAAACTCATTAACATACCTGAGAACTTTAAACTTTGGGAAATGGATGGCATTCTTTATGAACACTGTGAAATTAATGGCCTGTTCCAAAGCCGGCTCTCTGTGCAGAAAGAAAATACATTTTCCTGACTTTTTCTTTTTGACTTTAAACAGATCAGTCAATAAAAGCTCAGTACCTGACAACAGCATATTCCTCAATGGGACACCAGGATTTGATCTCACAGGTCTTGAATGTGTAGTTGTAGTATCGTATACACCGTCCTGTTTTTTGACCTATCCAAAAACAAGTGTATGATTTAATATTTACTCAAAAATGACATTTGCTGTTTGTGCAAACGTATTTAAAATGAGCTGAAATAACAAATTTCTTGAGTTTTCTTGGGACAACTTGATTGTTTTATGTTCAATCCACTTAAATTTGTAAAAACTAATAAGTTAGCTTAATTCCTTAATCCACTTTTGCTATTTTAAGGATAGAAAAATACACTTTGTGCCCCGGTGCATGGTCTAAAAGGGTTGTGCTTATTCTCTTAATGAGTTACGTGTGTGTTTTGAACAGAACGTGCATTAAACCAATCAGAGTCTCATCTCCCATTCACTTTCCGAGTCAGTTGCGTCGCACGAGGATAAAGAATGAGCCTCCTCCATTCGGCCTCTTTACTTTCTCTTTACATTACTTCTTTACTTTCGTGGAATGAGAAAACGGTGGAAACTCACTCCACTGAAGACATCCATTAGTCCACATATTTAATTTCGTTTGTTAAGCACAAAGATTTGTTTCAAAACTATTTCTTTATACAGTTCTTATTTCCAAAAAACGAATAAATGAACAATAATAACAAAGTGTGGTCAAACAACTGAGTTATGTCCAAACACACGTCCTATTTTTTTGCCTCATATGGTGAAGCATACAAATCCAAAACCCGACAGATGGACAAATCTAAACTTGTTTTTAGTAAAACAAATATAAGTATGCATATAATAAATAATACTGCCAATAATAATAACATTATACAAATGCAAATTGTCATGAATAAACATGAATAAAAAGATGTTCATCCTAGATGAAGAAGGCATAGAGGCAGTGATTTTTATTTTAAGGTGGAAAATAATAATTTTTGCAACATTTTTATCCTTTATTTTTTCATATGCAAAGATATGTATGTATTGCTGTACATCATGTGTGTATTAAACAATGTTTAAGTGTTTAGACCTGCATGGGCTCATAACTAGAGCACTCTGTACTGGTCTTTTGAACAGCTTTTAGTTGGTCAATGGTGTGTTTCAGTTCTACAAAATAGCAACACACCAACACTGCGCCTTAACACACCTCCTTTTCAGAACAGGACACTTATGAGTCCACAGAGTGTTGCAAAATAGATTTGCTATTTAAGCAATGTGGCGGAAAATGTGAAAATTACAGTTGCGCTGGTCTGAAAATAGAAACAAACCACGCCAACCACGATTTGCACCTTTTTGTGCCGGGTGTATGATTGGGCCTCTATATTTTTAAATTAATTGATTATTTAGAATGTCTTAATTGTTCCCAAGCAATAGCCAGCAGTTAACAGCAACATGTCACACTCGACAATATTAAAGTAACAGTAAACAAAATTAATCATAATCAAGTAAAGTAAAACAGAACATACAACCCAATTGCAGTTGGAACAGATGAATGCAAATATCTGTGGGTCCTTGCTGTCTAAAATAGGTATACCTTCTGCCTGATGGCAGGAGGCAAAACTTTGAAAAGCGGTTGGTTCTCATCTGCTAAAATGAACATAGCCCTCTTTATGACTCTCACCTCATACAAATGTCCAACACAGTTAAGATTTGTGCTCATAATCTTTTGAGATAGATGAACAATTTTTTAAAATCTGTTTAACTTGTCACCCTAAAATGACCATACCAGCATATTACTGCAAAAGTTTAAAGAGACTAAATAAAGGAATAAAATGTCCAAAGAAGAGGCTTTTCCATATTAATTTATGTAGCTTTAATTAATTATGTAGGATTAGATGTTAAAAATGAATTTGTTCTGAAATAATACTTCTTTTGTTTAGTTTTCCAGTGAACAATGTTATTTTTTAATAAACATTCTTAAATTTATTTTAGTGCAAATTCTGTGTTTATTTCTTTTTTATTCAGAATTTTCATTAAAATGTGTATAGAAAAAAAACTTTTGTGTATTTGTGTGTGTCTTTAATGTTTCATATGACAAAATTAAATATCAAAATATGTGTAATTATATTTTATTCTGTATATTAGATGTATTTATGCAAAAATTAAATTATATTCTTGGTGGTATTTATTAAAATATTTATATAACCCTCTTGCCTCTTCAGACCTAGTGGCTAAAATTCATATAGCTTTAGTTCAATATGTAGGATTGGATGTTTTAAAAACAACTAACTAGTCCTAAATAATACTCGTTTTGTTTGTTTGTTTTTAGTGAAAGATATTATTTTTTAATGAACATTTCTAAATGTATTTAATGTACATTCGATATGTATGTGTTCATTCAGAAAATATTTAATTTCTATTAATAATATTCATATAAATATGAGTATAACATGTTCTTACATTACATTTCAAGTGTTTTTTATTGTTTCAGATAACAAAATAGGATATGGAAAGTGTAATAATATTTTATTGTCGTTATAACAGATATATTTACATAAAAATGAAACCACTTTCTTAGTTGTATTTGTTAAAATGTGTAAAACCCTCTTTCTAAAAGCTAGTGCTTCGAAGAATAGTGACAAACTGTATTAATGACAATTGATTAATTTGTTGGGGCTGTACTGTGATCAATAAATAAGGTCTTGTCATGAAATAATACTTTTTCTGGATGCCTGATAGGCTTTTATTGGTAAACTCTTCACAAGTGAAATGACACTTCATTAGGTGTCTTCTGTAAATAACTGTACTAGTATATTATTTTGGACTTTAAATGATTGTGAATGTAAATCTCACCATGACCGTCAAAATCACTTTCTCCTTGGATGCAGTCTGAATCTCTTGTGCAGTTGGCATTGGCAACACTGTAATGCTGCAAAACAAACATTTTCATAAACACTGACCAATCCCCGCTTCCCAAATCTCTCGACAGTAGCTCATGTCTTGCTCTCACCTCAGCACAAGTGCCCTGCGTCTGATCATGTGTCACTTCTTTCCTGAGAATCGTACTGATGACATCACCACCCTGAGCATGAAGCAAATCAGTTCATTAATCAGACAAACAAGACAATTCCCCTTTTCCTATGCCCCATGATGCTTTGCGTGAATTATAGGAGTTTTAAACTGTAAACAACCAGTGATTTTTAAAAACAAACTGTATAAAAGGACGTCATCATTCGCCACAAAATGGATCCGTCCAAAGGAACCTTTTTAGAATGAACCAATTTCATTCAGTCATTCACTTTCATTAGGCATAGTCCCTTATTTATCAGGGGTCGCCACAGTGGAATGAACCGCCAACTATTTTATCATATGTTTTACCCTGCAGATGCCCTTCCAACCACAACCTAGTACTGGAAAACACCCATACATACTATCATTCACACACAGACACACACACACACACACACACACACACACACACACACACACATACACTACGGCCAATTTAGTTAATCCAATTCACCTATAGCGCATGTCTTTGGACTGCAGGTGAAACCGTAGCACCCGGAGGAAACTCAAACCAACATGGGGAGAACATGCAAACTCCACACAGAAATGCCAACTGACCTAGCTGGGACTCAAACCAGCGACCTTCTTGCTGTGAGGCGAAAGTGCTAACCACTGAGCCACTGTCACCCCATATAGTAATAAGCAATTGATTGTGTTTCTCATTTCAAGCGGATGTACATCACAATAGGGGAAAAACTAGTCTGCCTTTGTCACTAATAGTTGATGTAAAGTTTTGACCACCTCAGATGGTCTGACGTATTCGGTGGTGTCCTGAACGGCGTCTCCCAGCAGAGCGACTCCTCTCATCTCAGTGTAGACGGAGCTTTCAGGACGCGTCTCCGTCTCCTGATAGGCTTTCTGACTGATAAACACATACCTGCACACAGCAAAACCCCACTTACTGTACATTCATCCATTACCCAGATACATGCCAAACAATAAAACCTTCAGAATATTAGAAATAATGTAGGCTACATATATATATATATATATATATATATATACATATATATATATATATATATATATATATATATAGCTGTACTTTTTAAAATATTTCCTAAATAATGTTTAACAGAGTAAGGAATTTTTGACAGTTTTTCCTATAATATTTTTTCTTCTAGAGAAAGTCTTTTTTGTTTTATTTCGGCTAGAATAAAAGCAGTTTTTTATTAAAAAAATGCTAAATATTACTAGTGCCCTTAAGCAATATTTGTTTACGTTTATTTACAGAACAAACCATCGTTATACAATAACTTGCCTAATTACGCTAACCTGCCTAATTAACCTAATTAACCTTAAGTCTTAAAATTCCCCTTTAAGCTGTATAGAAGTGTCTTGAACAATATTTACTAAACTATTATATCCACTGTCATCGCAGCAAAGATAACAGAAATCAGTTATTAGAAATGAGTTATTAAAACTATTATGTGCTGAAATGTGTTGAAAAAAACAGATTTCCATCATCAGCTAAAATGGTGTAATTGGATATGAACGATTTGTTGTATCACCAGTTTACTTCTACTGCCATTTACACTGCATTTTGTCAGCATATGTTTAATAATCTTCTAGAGGCAGAAAGAAATCCATCTATTCTATTGTAACTTTGCTTTTTTTGGTGTCATTACATTAACATTAAGTTAACATTATTTAAGCTAAAAAAAAACGTGCTAATAAAATTACTAATAGAGCAAGATGATTTGTAATGGATGGTGGTTCTCAGAAAATAGATAGCCATTGGGAAAAGATTCACCTTTTATCATTAAAATTACCACGTAAGTTTTGAGAAACCTGGATGTCATCATGGCATAGATAAACGAAATCAGTTATTAGTAATTACTTCATAAAACTATTTTGTTTTGACATCTTCATCTCCAATAAACAGAAATTGGGGGAAAAATATACGGAGGGCTAATAATTCAGGAGGGCTAATAATTCTGACTTTAACTATATCTACAGTTGAAGTCAGAATTATTAACCCCGCTTTGAATTGTTTATCTTTTTTTAATATTTCCCAAATGATGTTTAACAGAGGAAGGACATTTTCACAGTATGTCTGATGATATTTTTTTCTTCTGGGGAAAGTCTTATTTGTTTGATATCTGCAAGAAGCATTTTAAGGTCAAATTGATTAGCCCCTTTAAGCTATGTTTTTTTTACAGAACAAACCATCATTATACAATAACTTGCCTAATTACCCCAACCTGCCCAGTTAACCTAATTAACCTAGTTAAGCCTTTAAATGTCACTTTAAGCTGTATAGAAGTGTCTTGAAAAATATCTAGTCAAATATTATTTACTCTCATCATGGCAAAGATAAAATAAATCAGTGATTAGAGATGAGTTATTAAGACTGTTATGTTTAGAAATGTGTTGAAAAAAATATCTCCGTTAAACAGAAATTAGGGGAAAAAATAAACAGGGGAGCTAATAATTCAGGGGGGCAAAGACTTTAACTGTATACTAAACTAAGAAATGTAGAAAATGTATCATGAAGACGTTAATAAAGTCCAAATATTTAAGATGGTATTAGTAACTTACCTTTGCCTCACAGATTATATAATCAACTTTTCCATTAGATTTCCATCATCAGCTAAAATGGTATAATAGGATACGAAAGTTTTTTGTATTAGTTTATTTCTACTGCCATTTTCATTGCTATTGCCAGCATATATTTAATGTTCTTCAAGAGGCAGGAAGAAATTCCTCTATTTTATTTTAGCTTTGCATTTTTTTTTCATGTTATTATTCATTTTCAAGGCAAAAGTACATTAAAGTAAATGGGTTCAACATGATTTGTTAAGCTTAAAAACATGCATATTGTAAAATTACTAATAAAACAAACTTGTAATAAATGATAATAGATAACCATTGGGAAAAAGATTCACCTTTTATAGAAACTGTATAATTAAAATTACCAAGTAAGTTTTGAGAAAACGACATGAAATCCATAATGCTCATATTGTATCAATATGTAAATTTACATTCAACAATCATGACAAATCTGTATCAAACATACAAATGTTCAATTAATTTATTCTTTTATTGAAGATTACCAATTACATAACTAAACGTGCAGAAATGAAATTCCTCTGTATGCAGAATCTTTGGATTTCTTAGATTTATTACAATTAAGTACTTGAAATCAACATGAGAGCAGTTTAGCATTTCCATGTTGTGCGACGTTCTATCTGAGAAACAAATATAATAAAGGCTATAATAATTTATCATCATCTTTATTGTCTCCCTGTACAGAGACACTTATCTTGCCCAGTCGAGAAAGCAGATTAAATCAGGAAAACACAATACATTTTAGTGACAAACAATTATTAATAATATATAAACAAATACACAAAAACATTCCACAAAACACCTACACCTTCCCCAGAAAGAATAAGAACGATGATAATTATATTATTATTTCCTAATATTTAATAATGGAATTAATCATGGAATTAATGACCATTTAAGCCTATTTACCTTAAAGTTTGATACCCCATACCTCTCATCTGCAGATAGTGGCTTGGACCACTGATTATTTCAAGTGTCTTTTTACAAAATATCCTGACGGGAATCAATTTTGTGAATTACAAAAAGCATAAACACAGTGGAAAACAGCTTCTTACCAAATGAAATACGTGATGACCAGGAACTGCACAGCTCTGTAAATGACTCCTAGCTTTTTGTCCTTCACCACCATTACTTTTGGAGTCTCATAGTCCCAGAAGCCCAGGAAAAAGTCTTTGAGGAACTCCAGACAACCCATTTTGTAAAAGTCTTATATAATAACAAATAAAGCTCCTGTGAAGTGAATGTCCCAATGTTCACTGAGGCTGTGTGGAGACACTCATCTACTGATTACAGCCTACTGTCCTCTCTCTCTCTCTCTCTCTCTCTCTCTCTCTCTCTCTCTCTCTCACCCCTGAAGTGGCACCTTTGTTCTTTTTTTCATGGCTTTATGTCGTATTGTTTCTGCCTCTATGGATAAACGTGTTTTTATTACAGTTTATTCCTTAGATTTCTACATTAAATGTTAAAATATTCATTCATTCAATTTCTTGTCGGCTTAGTCCCTTTATTAATCTGGGGTCGCCACAGCGGAATGAACCGCCAACTTATCCAGCATGTTTTTACGCAGCGGATGCCCTTCCAGCTGCAACCCATCTCTGGGAAACATCCACACACACATTCACACACACTCATACACTACGGACAATTTAGCCTACCCAATTCACCTGTACCGCATGTCTTTGGACTGTGGGGGAAACCGGAGCACCCGGAGGAAACCCACGCGAAGGCAGGGAGAACATGCAAACTCCTCACAGAAACGCCAACTGAGCTGAGGTTCGACCCAGCGACCTTCTTGCTGTGAGGCGACAGCGCTACCTACTGCGCCACTGCCTCGCACTCTGCATGTTAAATCTTATGTATCTATATTTTATAACAAGTATGAATATAATTTATCTTGTATAGAAAAAAGGATAGCACCCAAAAAAGGATTTTTGCTGCTTGTTTAAACCACTTGTGGTCCAGAATGTAATTTTTAGTCTTGGTTGTGTTAATAAGATGCAAAGCTTATGTTTCACTTAAAGGAAATCACTTTTTTTCCCCATAAATCTCACTTTGATTATATATATATATATATATATATATATATATATATATATATATATATATATATATATATATATATAACAAAAAAAGTTCGCTATGTTATTTAATTATAAAATTACAAAAATTTTAAAAACTATATTATATTAAAAAATATAGACCTACACATATATAAATAAATACTAAAACTAACTAAATAAAGCTATATAGAAATATTAAAAGAATTTATAATATGTGTAATTATATTATATAAATGTATATAGAATTTATATTTATAAAAATAAACCGAAAAAACATTCACATTTTACAAATCACAATTAAAAATAATTTAATTTAATATTTAAACATGCATTTACATTTATACATACATATATACAATTAAAATAATAACGGTCTGCATTATGAACGAGTCAGTGATTCAGCTGGTAAAGAACTTTCAGAATGAATAAAACGTGTGCATGATACGACGTGAATACTAGTTAGCGCCCATAGCTATATACATTCGATGTCGCCTACCCTGATGTTGTCTATTGGAAGGAATGCGTCAATAGAGTCGCCATTTTAGTACAGGGTAACGCTCCTTTGAAATGAGCGCCATCTAGCGGTCACATAATCTAATGACTAAATATTATGACAACTTGATCAACTTCTTTTATAAATATATATATATAACTTGACATTACTTTTTTTTCACCACCACACTGGGTTTTTTTACAAGACAAAATGTTGATGATGGAAACTGTATTTTATATACTTAAATTTGACTTTTGCATGCTAAAAGTACTTGAGTAAGAGACGTTTTACTTGATTTGGGTCATTAAAAAAACTCCCTATGATGTATGTAGCCTATACCTGCTGTAGTCAACCTAAAACCTACAGTAGGTTGACATAAAACCAAAACAACAGCCATTCTTGTCTTAGGACATTTTATTTGGCAAATTTTAAATAACAGTAAGTTTATGACATGTTAAATATATAGTATAATTTGCTGGTTTTAAACATACAGAATAATAATAAATATAGTTATGAAACAACCATAACACCGAATGTTGACTAATGAAGGTACACTTATAACAACTATTTATTTGTTAGACTACTGTATTGTCAAACTATGTTGAATACAAATGCATTCAACAGACTTGTATGACAGTGCATTGCTGTAGAGGACAAATAAAACACGAGACAGATGTTTAGGAAGAGTATAGTTTATTTAGTTTGACATGCAAACTTATCTAAACAAGACACACTTTCAGAAAACAGCCCGGAAACATTATAATGCGCGCGCTCGTGAATATAACCCGCGGTTGTCTTCAACTGTTGTCTTCAATAGTCCTTCTTTGCTCAACAACTCAAGCTGAAAAACAAAGCAAAACATTACAACAGTTAGACATGGAGCAAAGAGCATAGAATTGCCAAGAGGCGACACTCTACAATTTGGGAAACAATAACGCGCTTTTTGAATAAATTAAATAAAAACAAAGCAGCTGCTTTCCATGACGAGCGATCGCGATCACTTCAAAATGGCGGAATCCGGGTCTGTTGCTCTTGGTCATTCTAAGCTCTTTGCATAAAGTTAAATCATAACAGTTACCATGGTTTCTATTTCAAACTATAGTAAACTAAAGTTTGAAACTATAGTTTAAAATAGAAGATGAGTGGGCCTCGCTACTCCCACCCACCATAACCCTCGCAGCGAGGAGCGTCCCACTACCGGCCCCCCGTGTTTCCCTGAAGGTCCTCGGGGGTTGTTTGCTCCCTGCCTAGGGCTCAAAGGCCGCCTCGCCCCAGGGAGTGCACGAGAAGACCGGGCGCCAGGCCGTGCCAGTATTCACTGGATGTTGCTCGGCGGCACATTTCGAGCAACAAACACGTAATGTTCTTCGCGATATGTCGTTTATGTACGCAAACCGCAAGGAACTACAGCACAGACGGGCCCGGGTGAAGCTTCACGAAGCGGACTTCGTGAGATTGGCGTGGCTCCACTCGTATCGTCGGTATTGAACTTATCTTGGTCAAGTACAAACAGCTACACCGGGCGAACTGACAACGTTGACAGAGAGCGCACGAGCTTTTTAGGAATGCATGTGCAAATTTTTACAAGGCACGTCACTGTTGTCTCATTGTCATGGCAAGCACTGAAGAGGGCTCCTGATTGGAGCACACAGACTCTGGAGTCACAACAAGCTGCCGTCTGCTGTGGACAAAAATATATTAAATATATATTTTTAAATTTTTGGTGCTGTGTAATATTCTGAGATGCAGTAGAATATGGAGACAGATGAATATAATTGGATATATGCCGAGCTAGTGTTGTTCCCATACTTACAAACTTCCGGTGACCGGTTATTGTGAGTTTTTTCCACTTTATATGGTTCCTTTTACAGCATCCATGTTGTAATGTAATTAAAATACATTCAGTTAAATAAACTTTGGCATTCGTTTAGTTGTTCAAGCGTAAAACGAGATAAAAAGCCTTTTACTCGCACTCGGCCGTCAGAATCGGCAGGCTAGCGCAGAAGCTCCATTGGGGTAAAATAAATGCTCATATTATAAAGACATGGCGGGGAAAATGTAATTTAATGCAGTGCTTCATGTACAATCTGAGTCCCGCTTTATATCGGATATCACTCAGCCAGTGGAGATCGCTGATTTTTAAAGAAAACAGACCTTAAACGTGCTGGTTTTTCCTTTGGCATACAGTTTGCCGGAAGCGCTTGACCCAGGTTACTGGCAAATTAAAAGTCCCATTAGCATGCTTCAGCATATACCCTAAAATCCCAGGATGTCTTTCGAAAAAGAGTACGGGTTTACCCCGGCATCCTGGCCAAATTTACCCACTAGGCTCTGTCCTTCAGGGCCTCCCAACCCTCCCCATATCATAATTGGCTTTAACACACTTCTGTCTTCTCTCTCTGTGGTGTGCGGTCTGGTGCAAAATGGCTGCTGTCGCGTCATACAGGTGGATGCTACACTGGTGGTAGATGGGGAGATTGCTACCCAATAAATATCAAACTAGCTAAATTTAATAACAATATTTCCCCTAAATGCTCATTTTGTACTCAATATGATGAAACACTAAACCATTTATTTATTTACTTACTGTAAAGAGTTTTGGGTTGACTTTTCCAGTTTCATTAAAAAATTATTATTTCCAAACTTCTGTATTTCCCCTAAAATTGTATTCTTTGTTTACTTTCTGAGTGTAGAACCTTCTTATAGTAAATATTATTGATTCATTGCTTTTTTAGCAAAATTTTATATCGATAAATGTGAATTTTCAAAGAAACACCCTTACTTTTTTATTTTCAGAAAGGAATTTATGTGAACTCTTTAAAAGACTAACAATTACACTGGATGTAAAACACTTTCTTGGTGTAAATCATTTAAACTTGTTTAATTAGCTGGAATTCTATTTCTGTAACCCTCTTTGTCTCTTTGTTCATATTATATCTTTGTAATGTTCTTTCTTGCATTAAAAAAGTAGATTCCCCCTATGTGTAAAGCGCTTAAAGTGCCAAGAAAAGCGCTATATAAATGTAAGGAATTTTTATTGTTATAATAAAGCGCTGTTCTACCATCATGATATAGCCAGACTAAAATAAATCGCATTATTTCGATTAGTTTACTCTAAAGCAAACACTCCACTCACTGACAAACATAGAAGTAAAGTTGGTTTTATATTCGCACATTCCGACCTCTGCGTTCAATAAGTTTGTTAATCAGCAAGTAAAGAATCCAAATTCAATTATTTACCGTTGTAGTCGATTATGAGCAAAATGTACGCCACACTTTTCTGTCAAACTCGGCGTTTTAAAGGAGTAGAAAAACACGCTTACCTCTATGAAGGAGGTGACGTCATCGCTTTTTTGAGGGACCGTCTACAAACTATCAGTTTGTAAAATCAAGCTGTCAACGTTCACTGTCTATAGTAAGCCTACTACTTAATCTTAATAAAATCATCTGCAAACAATATATCACAGACATGTTTATGTATACATTATATTAAAACAATTTAAAAACATAAAACCTTTAGAATAGACTTAGTAATTTAGAATAGTATATTAGTATAGAATAGTAATTTTATACACTGATTTTTGAGTTATGATTAATGTATATACACTTTACACAAGTATACATGTTCATGTGTAATATGAATAACTATATATGTTTTTTCCCCTCTTCTTTTTCCTAATTATTTACAGATTGTACGCAAGCAAAAGATGGCCAGATTGAGACTTGTGAACTTCACCACTGGCTCCCTCCTTTAAAATGTTACTCTGCTGAAGTACATGTGAATAAAAAAATATTTTCAAGACAGCAAATAACAGTGTCATGAAATGAGTTCGGCTCATGTGGACAAAAAGAGTCCAAAATGAGAATCTATGCATTTGGGGATTTACAATGCTATTATTCACTTTGGAATGTTTTTTTTTTTTACTTGCATGTATTTGCACAATATTTTTATACATAATTGCCACATATTACATAGTAATGTAATAAGTTGTACTTTAATTACATATTAAGTGAGATTCTTGCCAATGTTTGTTTCATGTCCCATGTGTCAATATAGAGCTGCAATAGGAAGACCAGCAGACCTTTTGTAATTTGTGTTTGTAATCAATGTAATTGCATGATAAAATGATGAAATGGGAGATGTAATGGATTTATTCTTAAATTATCATTGTGTATGAAGTGTGCTTTTTAAATAAACTTGTTTTGAAATGCAAGAAAAATACTACAAAAATATGCTTATAAATATTCTTATAAATTCATATACAAGATATATTTATGAAAAGCTACTTGTGAGTGATAGATAATATAATTATTGATTTCTGATGTTAATTTGTTGATGTTACAATGGTTGGACTTAAAGAAATTAAGACATCTACATCCACAATGAACACTACAGAAAATATGCACACAAATATTAATATAAATTATTTTACAACATATATTTATGAAAATGTACTTGTGAGTGATAGATAATATAATTATTGATGTCTGATATTAATTTATTGATCCTACAATAATTGTAAAGCAAGATATTAGGATATCTGCATTTACCATGAAAAAAAACAAACTGTGGAAAATATGCTTACAATTATCAATATAATTTTTTTTACAAAATATATTTATGAAACGCTACTTGTGAGTCATAGATAATATTATTACTGATGGCTGGATTTAATTTCTTTATCCTACATTTATTTCACAACAAGATATTAAGATATTTAGATTCATGAAAAACACTACAGAAATTATGCTTATAAATATTAATATTAATTCATATCTAACATACATTTATTAAACGGTGCTTGTGAGTTTTAGATAATATTATTAATGATGTCTAATTTTAATTTGTTGCTCCTACAACATTTGGACATTAGAAAATTAAGATTTTTACATTTACAATGAAAAAAAACACACTACAGAAATTATGTGCACATAAAAATGAATATAAATTAATGCAAACCATATATTTATGAAAATGTGATTGTGAGTGATAGACAATATAATTATTGATGCCTGATGTTTATTTGCTGACCCTACAATGATTTTGAAACAAGATGTTAACATATTTACAATCATTAAAAACACACACTGCAGAAATTATGAACACAAATTTTAATATAAATTAATATACATTATATATTTATGAAAAGCTTCTTGTGAGTGAGACAATATTACTGCTGATGTCTGATAATAGTTTGTTGACGCTACAAACAAGATATTAAGATATTTACATTTATGAAAAAGACACACTACAGCAATTATGATCATAAATATTAATGAATTTTTTTACACCATATATTTCTCTAAAAGTGCTTGTGAGTGATAGATAATATTATTACTGATGTCCGATATTAATTTCTTTATCCTACAGTGATTTCACAACAAGATATTAAGACATCTGCGTTTACTATAAAAAAACATATGCTGTGGAAAATATGCTTATAATTATCAATATAAATTTATTTACAAGAAATATTTATGAAAAGCTTCTTGTGAGTGATAGACAATATTACTGCTGATGTCTGATATTAGTTTGTTGATGCTACAATTATTGTGAAACAAGATATTTACATTCACACTGAAAAACAAACACTACAGTAAATATTCACACAAATAATAATATAATTTTTTTATGACATATATTTCTCAAAAGGTACTTGTGAGTGATAGATAATATTATTACTGATGTCTGATAGCAATTTGTTGATCCTACAATGATTGGACATTAAGAAGTTAAGTTATTTACATTCACTATGAAAATCATACACTAAAAAAATATGGTCGTAAATATTCATTTAAATTATTTTACACCATATATTTCTCCACAAATTTTTATGAGTTATACACAATAATATTACTGATGTCTGATGTTAATTTGTTAATCCTACATTGATTGTAAAACAAGATATAAGGATATTTACATTCACTGAAAAACATAAACTACTGATATTATGATCACAAATATTTATATAAATTCATTTACAACATATAAACATATATAAAAAGGTACTTGTAAGTGATAGACAATATGATAACCGATGGGTAATTTCAATTTGTTGATGCTACAATGATTGGACACTGTATGTGTTGTTCATTGTTTTAACTGTTTTGTTACATTGTAATTACAACTATAGGTTCATATTTTGCTAATTGTAGAAACATGTACTTGTGACTGATAGACAATATTATTACTGATGGCTGATTTTAATTTGTTGATCCTACAATGATTGGACAACAAGCTATTAACATATTTAAATTCACTGTGAAAAACACACACTACAGAAATTATGTGCATAAATATTAATAATAGTTAATGTAGACCATATATTTCTCAAAAATTACGTGTGAGTGATAGACAATATTACTGCTGATGGCTGATTTTAATTTGTTAATCCTACAATGATTGTGGAACAAAATATTAAGATATCTGTGTTTACTGTAAAAAACATATGCTGTGGAAAATATGCTTATAATTATCAATATAAATTTATTTGCAAGATATATTTATGAAAAGCTTCTTGTGAGTGATAGACAATATTACTGCTGATGTCTGATAATAGTTTGTTAATGCTACAATTATTGTGAAACAAGATATTAAGATATCAACGTTTACCATGAAAAATATGTACTGTAGAAAATATGCTTATAAAAATTTATATTAAATTGTTTGCAACACGTATTTATATAAGGCTACTTGTGAGTGATAGGGGATATCATGACTGATGTTTGATGTTCAATTGTTGATGCTACAGTGATTGGACAACAAAATATTAAGATATTTACATTCACTGTGATGAAAAACACTACAGAAATTATGCTTATAAATATGAATATAAATTCATTTACAACATATAGTTGTGAAAATGTACTTGAGAGTAATAGATAATATACTTATTGATGTCTGATTTTAATTTGTTAATCCTACAATGATTTTGAAAAAAAAAAAAAAAAAAAACTTGATAGAAAATATGCTTTAAAAGTTCACCATAATAATTGCTGTGCACATTAGTAAAATAATTGATGTGAGTACAACATAAAATGAAGACTCATGTGGGAAAACATTTTGCTTAAACTAATATATTTTAAAGTACTTTTTTACACCTGTAAATGTATAGAAGATTGATTATAGGCAAACTTAAATAATACGAGAAAAATATTGAAATAAATAAATATTATACGTAAAACAATTGATGTCACCACAACATGAAGATTGATGTGGGAAAAATTGGTTAAATTACAATGTATAAAAAACATAATTTTATATTTTTAAATAAAAAGATTAAATACATGCAGTGGTTGTAAGTAAACTTAAAAAAATACAAAATAATATTGAAAGAGATGTTATTAGTAAAAGAAATGATGAGTACACTAGACTAGAACATGTAGACAAATGCTGGAAAAATTATGCTAATAAAAAATATTTTTATTAAGTCATTCATTCATTTTCTTTTCAGCTTAGTTTTTATTAATCCGGGGTCGCCACAGCGGAATGAACCGCCAACTTATCCAGCAAGATTTTATGCAGCGGATGCCCTTCCAGCCACAACCCATCTCTGGGAAACTATTTTTATATATATTTAAAAAAAAACACACATTAATGACTTTGACTTTAGGCTAACATAAAAAGTGACAAAAATACTTATAATATTCTTAAAATAAGTTATACGAGTACAACAAAAATAAAGATTCAAGCTTGAAATCAATACCACCATTACCACCACCATTGAAATATTATTTTACTATTGTGCACAACAATTATTAAGGTGGACTTTTAAAGCATATTTTCTATAGTGTTTTTTTTTTAATTGTAAAATATATTATATCTTGTTTCAAAATCATTGTAGGATTAGCAAATTAAAATCAGACATCAATAAGTATATTATCTATTACTCTCAAGTACATTTTCACAACTATATGTTGAATTTATATTCATATTTATAAGCATAATTTCATAATTAATTAAGCATAATTAGTTGTGTTTTTCATCACAGTGAATGTAAATATCTTAATATTTTGTTGTCCAATCACTGTAGCATCAACAATTGAACATCAAACATCAGTCATGATATCCCCTATCACTCACAAGTAGCCTTATATAAATACGTGTTGCAAACAATTTAATATAAATTTTTATAAGCATATTTTCTACAGTACATATTTTTCATGGTAAACGTTGATATCTTAATATCTTGTTTCACAATAATTGTAGCATTAACAAACTATTATCAGACATCAGCAGTAATATTGTCTATCACTCACAAGAAGCTTTTCATAAATATATCTTGCAAATAAATTTATATTGATAATTATAAGCATATTTTCCACAGCATATGTTTTTTACAGTAAACGCAGATGTCTTAATATGTTGTTGTGAAATCATTGTAGGATAAAGAAATAAATATCAGACATCAGTCATAATATTATCTATCACTCACAAGTACTTTTAGAGAAATATATGGTGTAAAAAAATTCATTAATATTTATGATCATAATTGCTGTAGTGTGTCTTTTTCATAAATGTAAATATCTTAATATCTTGTTTGTAGCGTCAACAAACTATTATCAGACATCAGCAGTAATATTGTCTCACTCACAAGAAGCTTTTCATAAATATATAATGTATATTAATTTATATTAAAATTTGTGTTCATAATTTCTGCAGTGTGTGTTTTTAATGATTGTAAATATGTTAACATCTTGTTTCAAAATCATTGTAGGGTCAGCAAATAAACATCAGGCATCAATAATTATATTGTCTATCACTCACAATCACATTTTCATAAATATATGGTTTGCATTAATTTATATTCATTTTTATGTGCACATAATTTCTGTAGTGTGTTTTTTTTCATTGTAAATGTAAAAATCTTAATTTTCTAATGTCCAAATGTTGTAGGAGCAACAAATTAAAATTAGACATCGTTAATAATATTATCTATAACTCACAATGACCTTTTTATAAATATATCCTGTACATTAATTAATATGCTTTATTTATGCAAATAATTTCTGTAGTGTGTGTTTCATTGTGAATGTAAACATCCTGATATCTTGTTTCACAATCATTGTAGGGTCAACAAATGAACATCGGACATCAGTAATACTATTGTCTATCACTCACAAGCACCGTTTAATAAATGTATGTTAGATATGAATTAATATTAATATTTATAAGCATAATTTCTGTAGTGTTTTTTTTATGAATCTAAATATCTTAATATCTTGTTGTGAAATAAATGTAGGATAAAGAAATTAAATCCAGCCATCAGTAATAATATTATCTATGACTCACAAGTAGCTTTTCATAAATATATTTTGTAAAAAAAAAAAAACTATATTGATAATTATAAGCATTTTTTCCTCAGTTTTTTTTTCATGGTAAATGCAGATATCCTAATATCTTGCTCTACAATTATTGTAGGATCAATAAATTAATATCAGACATCAATAATTATATTATATATCACTCACAAGTACATTTTCATAAATATATGTTAAGAAATAATTTATATTAATATTTGTTTGCATATTTTCTGTAGTGTTTTTCATTGTGGATGTAGATGTCTAAATTTCTTTAAGTCCAACCATTGTAGTGTCAACAAATTAATATTAGGCATCAGTAATAATATTGTGTATCACTCATAAGTAGCTTTTCATAAATATATCTTGTAAATAAATTTATATTGATAATTCTAATCATATTTTCTACAAAGTACTTGCCTTTAGTACTTATTCATTGTTGCTCTTAGTTGTGTAAATTGCTTCCTTGTCCTCATTTGTAAGTCGCTTTGGATAAAAGCGTCTGCTAAATGACTAAATGTAAATGTAAAAATGTATGTTTTTCATGTTAAACACAGATATCGTAATATCTTGTTGTTCAATCATTTTAGGATTAACAAATTAATATCAGACATCAGTCATAATATCCCCTATCACTCACAAGCACTTTTTGAGAAAAATATGGTGTGAAATTTTTTATTAATAATTGTGAGCATAATTTCTGTAGTGTTTTTCATGAATGTAAATATCTTAATATTTTGTTGTGAAATAATTGTAGCATCAACAAATTAATGTCAGACATCTGTAATAATAATATCTATCACTCACAAGTAAGTTTGGAGAAATATATGTTCTACAATAGTTTATAGTAATATTTTAGAGCATAATTTCTGTAGTGTTTGTTTTTCATTGTGTATGTAAATGTGTAATTTTTTTTTTGTTGTCCAATCATTGTAGGATCAACAAATTACAATGATCATAATAAATGCACACTATTTATGATATAATGATAGTTTAATGTACAACAACATGTCATAAACAGAAAAAACAGAAATGACAGTGTTACAATATTTAGTTAAGACAATGGGTAAGACAGAGGTAAGGAAAACAGCAGGGCACAGGTTGCATGCATGTTCTGCAGGGTCCACAGATGTTGATGTGCACAGGCCATGATTTCAAAACCTATTTAAACAAATCAAATGACAAGGTTACATACAAATCAGAAACATAAAAAATTGTGTGTATGTATGTATATATATATATATATATATATATATATATATATATATATATATATATATATATATATATATATATATATATATATAAAATTACATGAAATATATTAATCAATAAAAACATGTCATTGTAATGCAAAATGTAAGTGATGTGTACCGTTATAGTAGTTGGCTGAATTCCTTTTGTTCGTTTTTCAACAACCTGAGAACTTTTGACTCGGTCCCTTTGTTGTTTTTCACGCGATATTGAATATTCGGTCTGAAATCGCATGTAAGTAACACTTCAAACAACACTAGCATGATTTCTTTGACCATGAACGCTGTTGTAGTTTGATAATAGTTGTCTGCTAGTGTGATTTCGCTATTTGGAATTTGCAAACAATAGTTTTCTAATATTTTATTAGGGGAGCGTAAGTGCGAATGTGCAAATATAAAACCAACTTTACTTCTATCTGACAAACAGCCCCTTTCATAAAGATTTATTCCACAATCAGAGATGCTGTTTATGTTCACACAGCTACATTACAAATCAACTAAAGTTTAGAATATGATAACATAGTGGACCACCCCATTAAAATGAGCTAAATCAACACAATTCACAACATTCACAAAGTTTTTTTAGGAGGCAACTTAATTGTTTATGTTCAATCTACTTACATTTGCAAAAACAATTAAGTTCTCTCACAAAATAAAGGAATTGTGTGCAGCCCAGCATTTTTTTTCTACAAACAGACAGACAGACAGACAGACAGACAAACAGATAGATAGACAGAGATAGATAGATAGATAGATAGATAGATAGATAGATAGATAGATAGATAGATAGATAGACAGATAGATAGAATAGCTACTATACATTGCAAGCAAATGCATATTAACTGTAATTTTACCGCATATCGTATGTTACAGTAACTTTATATGTATATTTGCCTTAAATACACAAAACTGTTGAACTGTATATATATAACAGTATAACAGTTTTGTGTATTTAAGGCAAATATACATATAAAGTTACGGTAACAGACGATATGCGGTAAAATTACAGTTAATATGCATTAGCTTGCAATATATAGTAGCTATTCTATCTATCTACCATATAACAATGTTTTATTATAGACGTATATGATGTAATATGTGAAGTAAAAAATTATTGACATACGCCAGCGATTCTCATGAATTTCTACGCAGGCATTCGCTCGGGTGAGCAAAATCCCAGGGTCCTACTCTCTCGGCTCTCTGGCGTCACACAAAACACGTGTGTTCTGGAGACGCACGTTAGCGCTGAAGTATATTTGCTGTGTTTATTTACAGTGGTTTTTATATTAAGTTTTGCCGAGTGACAAAACGCAGATACCGCTGCCATGGGCGGATTACAAAAGAAGAAGGTAAGACCGAGATTCAGAACAAAACTATTGTAAACAAAACGTGATATCTTGTTGAGCGCATGGCCCTTTTGCAGGCTTCTGAACACAGTCGGTATTGTAGTGTTTACTTATAGCCAAATGGCATACGATATGTTTAATTGGTTTATTTTGACGTGGACCCTTAACTGTAATGTCTAGTTTCAGTTAATTGCAGCTTTGACTGACAGCGTATCATGAGTAAAACATATCTGTGTGAAAAAAATGTGTCGTGCATTTACAGCATGCTCTATCGTTATGTGTTAACTTGACGTTTCTTCTTGTTTAGTATGAGAGTGGGTCAGCCACTAACTACATCACCAGGAATAAAGCTCGTAAGAAGCTGAGTCTGAGTCTGGCTGATTTCAGGTTGGTTTACACATCTGTCACACTCGCTTCTAGGGCTTCACGATGTTGGAAAACTCTGACATTGCGATGTTTTTTTTTTCCTGCTGTAAATATGTTGACATGAATACAGTTTCCCAAGAGGGTTTGAATAGCTCTATTTGCTGGTTTTCTGGTGAGCCTACCAGTATTCAGCTGCAGAAATTGAATAATCACAATGCAAGAAAGCATGTATTTCATGCTTTGTCTCGTTTTTGTGCAAATTTCTTGTAGATCAAGTAAAACTTATAGGTGGGCATAGATAATTTTTTTATCTAGAATAATCTCAGAATTAAAATGCCTTCGGCAGAATTCAAATGAGCCATTCAGAATATGTGTGCTACCTAAATAAGTCTTTAAGAACAGGTTTCTCAAGCCAGGTGGCGCATTAGACCAGGGGCTCATCTCCTGTTTCCAAAATGCATCACAAACTGCTTGAAAAACTGTTCTACAATGATAATTGGTGATAAAATTAAAAGATTTTCAATAAGATGCATTTGTGTTTACTGTTTGTTCAGTTAAACATGAATTTTGAACTGTAGGCCTACATAAGCTCAAAACAGAAATCATGGTGAAAATGTATGTCAATCATAATTGTTTCGCATAATTTTTACACCGCAGATGTATTATAACTCTTACTTTGTGTTTTATGTTTGTGCATGTAATTAAACTTGTGTATTAATGTATGCATCTGATGTTGTAGGCGGTTATGCATATTAAAAGGAATTTATCCTCATGAGCCCAAACACAAAAAGAAGGTCAACAAGGGCTCGACGGCTGCTAGAACTTACTATCTGCTGAAAGACATCCGCTTCCTGCTGCATGAACCCATCGTTGGCAAATTCAGAGAGTATAAGGTAAAACTGTGCCTTCGGTAAAGCTGCATGCTGGTCTTTGTCCCTAATTAGTTTGATCAATTTTGTACATTTGGGTTTTTGAGTTAAATGACAGTAGAGCTAATATACTGGTTGGTTGGTAATTCCCTTCTAAAAGTAACTAGAAAGATGCACCAATTTAGGTCTGAAGTCCTTGCTGTTTTATTTAACTATTTATTTATTTGTTTTTTTTTTTGCTTTATTTTATAACTCTTATCTGTTTTCCTTCAATATCTTGGCTTATATTTAAAGCTGATTTCATATGGTATCTAATTCCACTTTGGTCGTCTACAATTAGTAAATAATATAGTTGAACTATAATGTCTCTGATTATAGGGTGGTAATGATTCTGATAATGACTGAATTGTCTACTAGTCTAACTATGACACTCAAACATATTTTTGTTTTTAATTAATTAGCATTTCACAGCTGATGGCATTGTCACTATAATTTTTGCTACACATTAAAATGTAAAATGAGAAATTTTACTTTATTATTAGAAATATTTTGGCTATTTGCATGCTGTTTTATCTAAAAATACGTGTTGTTCCTATGCTGAATTTAGTAGTTTGTTCTTGGATGTATACGGTGCATGCCATGGTATCACTACTCTTTTCCAGTCCTTATGTGTAATCTCACAACATTTATACCGTTGTATTGATCAAATAAATTATGCATAAAATCCAGATTATAAAATATCGGCTTGATTTTGGCATGATCTGTTTGAATGCATTGTGTTTCGGTTATTGATGTTGATAAGATTATGTAGGTCTTTAAAGATAGCAAGTTATGATTGGTCTGGAAAAAGTTGTGCTTGGACATGTGCTGTCCATGACTCAACAAGAATAATTTTTTATTTGACAAGAATTTATGGACTTGTCTGACTTTCTGACTATCATAATAGTAGGGCTGTGCAATTAATCAAAAATCCGGTTTCGATTTGGCATCTAACGATTATGAAAAACCATCTATCAATATTCCATCATATACCGTCCCCTTTCCAGTTGTACACATTTGTTGCTCTGCAAAGCTCAGTTCCACATGAAAATGACTAAAAGCATGTGCTGTAATGTAACGTTTGCAGCATGGGATACGCATCATTCATTAATGTATGTTCGAATCATTAATGTTTTTTAAAAGCTTGAAAAAGCGCATGGTGTGTGTGCGTGTGTGCCGCACTTAGCCTTAAAGCTAAAGATGTTTAAAGCAGTTTAAACATAACAGATTTAATAACTCATTTCTTTTATCTTTGCTATGATGACAGTACATTATATTTTACTAGATATTTTTCAAGATATTTTTTGTGATATATTTTCACATCCTGAAATCTTTCTTCCCTGATTATAGATCTTTGTCCGGAAGCTGCGGAAAGCGTATGGGAAGGCTGAGTGGAGCGCAGTGGAGAGACTGAAAGAAAACAAGCCTGGCTACAAACTGGACCACATCATCAAGGAGAGGTGAGGGTGAACGCAGTGCTTTCTGTGAACTGCAGATGGCAAACTTGAGCTCTCAGATCCCTCATAACGGCCTGTTCATTTTTCCATGCGGTGTTATGTGATAAGCACCTATTTGTGTCCAAACACTGTTGTGAGAACGAGCCTTGGTTCATGTCCACAAACAGATCAGTTATGAGAAATCCAAAAAGTCATATGAATATGACAACTATGAATATGATACTTTAATTATCATGGCTGGGCCGTCTGTCTCATAGACTGTCTGTCTCCCATTCATCTGCCACCATGCACAACTGTCACATCAGCAGCTTTTGGGATTTGGGATGTTTTTCCAACATTGTTTTTTTCAATGTGGAACACAAATGTTTAAAGGTTTACTGTCACCCTCTTCAAATTCTCACTGAGGCAGAATTATTTATATATATATATATATATATATATATATATATATATATATATATATATATATATATATATATATATTAGGGATGTGCGGAGCAGCCGGTATTTGTATTTGTATTTGTATTTGTTGAGGGGGTAAAAGTATTTGTATTTGTATTCGAGTAAAATTCAAAATGGCGCAAAAATATATATTTTTTCTATTACACTTCTAATTTACGTTATAGTGAAAGTATTGTTTAATTATACCCATTATATAAATTATAGATATGCACTATTGGCTGTTGTTTTTGAACATGTGACAAGAAATGTCATTGAAAAGAAAATAACATAGAAGCCATTATCTCATCCATGGTTAAACCTACAACTAATAAAATACCATTGTGAATATTATGAACCCCACCACCACCGTTCTTGTTGAAGGACACTGAATAGACAGAATAAAAACAAATAATACTTCAAAAAACTGTTCTTCTTCTGAAAGAACTTCTTTCCAATGCACAGAATTCCAAAAACTAAAATTAACTAAATAAATCTAAATAAAACCCTGCCTGGGGAATCTGGCAGAACAAAAGTATTCTATATAATACTAAAAGATACAGCCCTGCTATTATCATCTGCCAGCCACAAAACAGACACAAAGTTTGTTTGTTTGTTTATTTAGAGATATCTGCAAATATTTTTCAATGGAAGTCAATGGAGGAATATGACTAGTCAGTCATAATATATTTGCAGATATTTCCAATCTGACTAGTCGAATTATAATTATGACAAGTCAAAATATAATTAGAGATATCTCTAAATATATTTATGGATAGTCTGAACAAGGTTTAAAGGGCCATGAAACCTCCTCGTTTCAGCAGGGTGTTTTCACACCTCTTCTTTGGAAAAAGTCAGAAAAGTGGGGGTGTCCAGCTCTGTTTAGGGGGGAGTGTCGGAGGAACTAAAGTGGGAGGGTGTGGGAGTGTCTATTTGGGCACGCGCGAGTTTCAGTCAAAATACACAGGAGAAAGGGATGGTGTTTAACCTACATGGACATCTGTAGTCGAATTATTTGCCAAATTATTAAATGTTGGACTTTAACTGCAGTTTGGCTCTTTCATTCAG